TTGCCAAGCGACGAAAACCCAACCCCGATGGCAAACACCGGGAGGGGTGGCTTGTTTTACAACGTCGTTGCCAAGCGACGAAATCCCAACCCCGATGGCAAACACCGGGGGGGGGGCTGCGTTGTAAGGGACCTAACATTACATTCAAATTGAGGAAGCGAGTTTTGCCCAAAACGATGATGATTCTAGTGCCGCGATTTGGCGTCGCCGAATTTCGGCTGGATTGTGTATGGGACACAATACACTGTTGGTTCGAACTGTATGCAACGGAGAGAATGTGGAACAGTCCTTTCGGTTTTGACAGCCTGGTGCATTAACGTGCGGCAAACCGTTCAAGAAAAAATGGGGGTGATATGTGGACTCCTGAGAGACCAACTGGAATTCTCGGTGTGGGATCCCCGAGAGCCGGTGCCTGAATGTCAACTTTCATGTTGTTTCCGCTTCAGGTCAATGAAGCTTTCCAGCAAATTTAGAGTAGGAAATTTGTAAAGCTGACGCAACAGGGCACTTGTAGTGTAAACGGGACCCCGCGGATACGGTTCTTTAATTCAAATCAAGCAGCTGCACAATAGCTGAAAACCTCACAACGATTTTTAGAGTTAGACTAAAATTTGCACACATGCACTTTGGGTCAATTGACTGCTTTCGTTTCGCTCCGGAAGGTTCCGATGCCACTGCAATTTCAGTGGTGCCAGTTCGAGACAGCAGTATTCCTCTTTTAGGAAGAGCCAGACAGCACATGCAGGTTGGACCAGCCGCATATTACATGCGATGGTGTTAAATGTGGTCTCCTCCCACCTCTCCTGCCCTGCTTTTCACTCATCACTGTCATGAGAAGGGGTACGGCGGAATCATGCCATGCTTTCCTGGCCAGTTTGTCGAAAGGTTGGGTTGTTTGCCGAGGGCAAAGTGGTGAGCCCGGTCGAAAGCAGCAAGTTGCCTATTTCGAAGCGTCAGAAGTCTGCCTGTGACCTGGTACCCTTTCTGCTGCGTCGCAATCACCGACTCCGCCATGAAAAATGAACGTGGCACGCCCGTTGAAGGGTTCTTGCGCTCCCTAGATACACAAGGTGTCGCCACGGGTGCTCGTGGCAGCGAAAGATGAGTCGGGCGCTCATCAAAAACTTTCTCTGCCATGGTTTGTTCCGGAGGGTACCCAAGAATCCCTCCAACACGGTAAACTTAATGAAAGAGACGTTTTTCCTTGTTTTGACCCAACAGCAGATGACACCCATGTCGATCCCACACTTGATACTGGTTCAAAGCAAGGCAAGCGTCTCTTTGATTTCTACTCTGTTGGAAGGATTCTTCAGGATACCCGCACGAGTTCAAATACCGGCTGGATCACTTTTCTTTACATTAAAGTGCGCCTATTAATAGAAATATCACTGACTGGCGAGAGGTCCGTCCCCGGAGATCCCTGCACTCAATCCCAAGCCATTAAAATAAACCCAAGTGAGCTGAGGGTATATCTTTTGTAAAATATAGTTATTCCATTAGACTAGTCAGCGCTGACTAGTCTTAACTTTATCTTACACTCCGAACAAATCATGGCAGAAAACATAGTTTGCGATGAGCGCCTGACTCATCTTTCGCCGCCACGAGCACCCGTGGCGACACCTTGTGCATCTAGGGTGCGTGAGGATCCTTCAACGAGCGTGCGATGTTCATTTTTCATGGATGAGTCGACGATGGCGATGCAGCAGAACAGGCACCAGGCCACCAGCTGGAGTTGAAAAGTTGGAACACAGTTGCTGTCACCCGAGCTTATCACCATTCTACAGGCAAACACCCAACCTCGCGACAAATTGGACAGGAAAACATGACATGATCCCCCGATGCCCCTTCTCTGACAGTTGTGAGTGGAAACCGGGGCAGGATGGGCAGGCGGACGCCACAGCGGCACGTGTGGATGTGGTCCATATCGGTCATTTGCCTCTTCAAGAAGGATCCTAGAAGAGGTTTGACTGAAAAAAAAACGGCTATTTGGGACAACGTTGTCCCAAATTTTTATTTTGGGACAACACGTCTAACTCGGTGTAGAAAGCTCGGATCGACCTCAAACCAAGTTTGTTGTAAGCCTACTGGACACAGCTTTCACGGAATGTATTTTGAGTCCACAACGGAGCCGGGGCCGAGGAGATGTCGCCTAAAAAAGGGGCTCCGTGGCTTCGGTAAATCCACGTTTTCCTCCATAACTCGGCCCAACCACGTCCGAAACACCCCCAAACACCTTTGGTGTGCTTGTATGATCANTTTCACGGAATGTATTTTGAGTCCACAACGGAGCCGGGGCCGAGGAGATGTCGCCTAAAAAAGGGGCTCCGTGGCTTCGGTAAATCCACGTTTTCCTCCATAAC